AGAGTTATGATTTTGGGAAATGAGAAACTGAGGAACTTTGGAGACAAAAGGAAAATGGTAATCCTATTATCCTTTAATTTATGGAAGTGCTTAATTAACTATTTGTGTTTTATAATAGTATGACAGCAACTCTCTCTCCCCTTTTCTCTCCACTCACCTCTCTATATAACTACTCATTCTAATATCATATCATAGAAATTGAGAATGAGAAGATGAAAGTTGAAAATGAAATTAATGAATTATTGTGTCAAAGTGTCGTCCCATCAAGCAAATCTCCAACAATTGAGTAAGAAATACATTTAATTAAGTACATTCATAATATGTACATGAAGCAATAGCATTTTGTAGCCATTCTTGTCCCTATAAATCTAAAATTGAAGTTTTAAATGGCCGTAACTTAAAAGGTTAAGTTCAGAATCAGCTCAAACTTTTTACACAGCATAAAAGCATCAATATGTATTAGAAAATGTAATATAAGTTTTGGGTAATTTTGGAGCCATTTTTTGGAAAGAGCCATGGTCTGTTTTCAGAATTTTAGAGTTTTTTTAAGATGGCCGTAAATTTAAAAATTGAAGTCGGAATCAACTCAAACTTTCTACACAGCATAAGGACGTCAATTTGTATCAGAAAATGTAATAAAAATTTGGGTTAATTTCAGAGCCTTTTTTTGGAAAAAACCATGGGCTATAGCCTTGGGTATTTTACAAAATTGGCCGTTTTTCAAACAAGGCCGTAGCTTGATTAATTTAAGTCGGAATCGGCTCAAACTTTTTACACAACATATAAGAGCATCAATATGCATTAGGATGTGTAATAACAATTTGGGTTAATTTTGGAACCATTTTTTAAAAAACCATGGGCTATAATAGTAATAATAATAATAATAATAATAATAATAATAATAGTCTTCGGCAGGAGCGTATATTTTTCAGAATTTTGACGTTTTCTTAAAATGGCCATAATCGAAAAATTGAAGTCAGAATCGACTCAAACTTTCTACACAGCATAAGGACATCAATATGTATCAGAAAATGTAATAAAAATTTGGGGTGATTTTGGAGCCATTTTTTGGGAAAAACCATGGGCTATAGCCTTGAGTATTCTTCAAAAATTGGCTTTTTTAAAAAAATGGCTGTAACTCAAAAAATTGAAGTCAGAATCAGCTCAAACTTTCTACACAGCATAAGGGTATCAATATGTATCAGAAAATGTAATAAAAATTTGGGGTGATTTTAGAGCCATTTTTTGGAAAAACCATGGGCTATAATACATGGTTAATACTATTATTATTATTATTATTATTATTATTATTATTATTATTATTTATTTATTTATTTATTTATTTATAAATGCTCAGAAAACTGTAAGGAGGAACAATTATTAAAGATTTTAATGGAAAAGAATGAAGACAAAGAGTGTATCAAGTAAGTGTATGTATACACACACATCATTATGATCCACTAGTAGCTTTATATCTTATAATGTGTGGAATTGCACACAAAAAATGATGTGTTGATTTGTACAAACTCACATACATGTATGTTGTTTTAACAAGAAGTGTGTTAAGCCCCACATTCAACACAGGACCTGTCTTAAACCAACACATGTACTCTTTCCTATCGTAAACAACACAGATTTTCGCCACACCCATTTTAGATTTAGTTCACACCTTTTTTATCATGGCATTGTTGAACTTGATGTCAGAGCTTCTTTTGGAGACTATCATGACT